GATACCTAAACCACTAAGCTATCCAGCCAGCTTCACATGACAGCTTACTGTGGCGTCCACCCAGGTGTAAATATTAATGTGATATCTGCATAGACCAATGGGAGCGATGGATGGGCAGAGTTATGGGATATAAGAGACTTAGCAGGAGGTAGTAGAGAGGATTGAGAGTTTTGAGGAAGTTGGGAGGTTTTGGAGTTTGGGTGGGAGAATGGTGGTTGAGAGTGGATAAAGGAGGATATTTGTTTAAGAGTTAATAACATTGCTTTAGCTATCATCATCTGTAACATAAACATTTCTATTTGGTTCTTTTAAAAATGACACATTGCCTGGACCTCTATTATTAATATTAAATAATGTTGATGTAATCAACTGGTGGCAGCTGAAAGACACTTAGCTTGAGCTCTTAGTTTTTCATTTCACCACTTGTGGCTCATTTAGCCTTTATCTCCTTCTTCTATTAACCCTTCTAAGGCAGAGACTGGAATCAGAATGGCCTGTTAGATAATTATTTTATGTCTCCTCTGTATGCCAAAATATTCTAAAAACAAGGTGTAACAGGCAAAAGTCAATAAAACCACTAGTTAAAACAAAGCAAATGCATCCGAATCATTACAGGGAATCAACAATTACTAACATGATAAGGTGAATAAGAAAATTTTAAAATGTTGCCTAGAACACTGGTTCTTAACCTTTGTTACTGAGATGTTTTTGGACTGCAACTCCCAAAAGCCTTCACCACCAGCTGTGCTGGCTGAGGTTTCTGGGAGTTGCAGTTCAAAAACACCTGAGTAACAAAGGTTAAGAACCACTGGCCTAGAAGATTGATTGATTCCCAGGTGAGTCATGGTACGGTTATACTATTGAAATAAACTGGGTAATGGACCCACGATTTTGAATGTGGTTTGAAGTCACATGGCAGCCATGTGGTTTTTGGGTCAATGTAGGCATCCTCTTGAGAAAACTTCTAATCCATTTTAAAACTGTGCTGTACAGTGGGGTCTTGACTTGCGAACTTAATCCGTATTGGAAGGCAGTTCACAAGTCAAAAAGTTCACAGGTCAAAATCTGCATTCCCATAGGAATACATTGAAAACCATTTGATCCGTATCCGCTCTCCATAGGGCGGCGCGGGACCCTGAGGAAGGGAAGGGAAGGGGTGCCATCAGTCAGGGCATTCATTACCTCAGGTCCCGGCGGCGGCCCGCAGGTCCCGGAGGTGGCGGCGGCCTTGGCGGGAAGAGAAGGGGAGGTACCGGAGAGCATCTGCCCTCGCACGG